GTCTGCTTGTCCAGTTTCAATTGGAAGCTGGCTATTGAATAACTCAATAAAATACCATACCCTTACCAGTTTCTGTGCCTCCTCATTTGGAGGAAGGGCCCAGACATGCCTTCTTTTGCACCACCTTAATAACCAACACTGTCCGGGCAAACTGGCTCACGCCTGGAATCCCAGCACTTTGGCAGGCTGAAGCCGGTGGATCACCTGAAGTCAGGAGCTCGAGACCAGCGGGGCCAACTTGTGAAACCCTGTCTCCACTAAAAGTACAAAAATTAGCTGGGCGTGGTGGCTGACACCTGTAATCCCAGATACTCGGGAGGCTGAGGCAGGAGAAACACTTGAACCCAGGAAGCGGAGGCTGCAGTGAGCCGATAGCTCCACTTCACTCCAGTCAGACTCTGTCTCAAAAAAAAAAAAAAAAAAAAAATGCCGGGCATGGTGGTTCACGCCTGGAATCCCAACACTTTAGGAGGTCGAGGTGGAAGGATCACTTGAGGTCAGGAGTTCAAGACCAGCCTTGCCAATATAGCAAAACCCCATCTCTACTAAAAATACAAAAATTAGCTGGTGGTGCATGCCTGTAATCCCAGCTACTCTGGTGGCTGAGGCATGAGAATTGCTTGAACCTGGGAAGCGGAGGTTGCAGTGAGCCGAAATAGTGCCACTGCACTCTAGCCTGGGCAAGAGAATGTGACTCTATCTCAAAAAAAATAAAATAAAATAAAATAAAGGCCGGGTGCAGTGGCTCATGCCTGTAATCCCAGCACTTTGAGAGGCTGAGGCGGGCGGATCACGAGGTCAGGAGATCGAGACCATCTTGGCTAACACAGTGAAACCCCCTCTCTACTAAAAATACAAAAAAAATAGCTGGGCGTGGTGGCGGGCGTGTGTAGTCTCAGCTACTCGGGAAGCTGAGGCAGGAGAATGGCGTGAACCCGGAAGGCGGAGCTTGCAGTGAGCTGAGATCACGCCACTGCACTCCAGCCTGGGCGACAGAGCAAGACTCCGTCTCAAAAAAAAAAACAAAAAAGGAATTTTCACACTACATTGGAAGAATCAGGAGGAACTAGCTGAGCAAGAAGGCTCAGGGTTGGGATCCTCAGGCAGCAGGTAGCACTCATACAAAGGTTTTAAATTAGGTGGAATTAGGTTTGGTTGCCTTGGGGAAATGAAAAGATTATATGGCAGGAGTGGGGATCTCAAACTCCTGACCTCGAGTTAGGGACCAGCCTGACCAACATGGTGAAACTCCGTCTCTACTAAAAATACAAAAATTAGCCGTGCGTGGTGGTGGGCCCCTATAATCCCAGCTGTTCAGGAGGCTGAGGCAGGAGAATCGCTGGAACCCGGGAGGCGGAGGTTGCAGTGAGCCAAGATCGCGCCATTGCACTCCAGCCTGAGAGACAGAGCAAGACTCCGTCTCAAAACAAACACCTGATCTCAAGTGATCCATCCACCTCAGCCCACCCAAAGTGCTGGGATTTCTAATTTAAATGATAATAACCCTTCCCAGAACTAAGCTGCTTTTGTGAAGCTAATGAAAGGCCATTAGGTTAGGAGGATGAGAGGAACCTGCGAAGGTCTAGAGGAAGAGTAATACAAAAGTTAGCCCTGCGTGGTAGCTCACGCCTGTAATCCCAGGTACTAGGGAGGCTGAGGCAGAACTACTTGAACCCAGGGGATTGCAGTGAGCTGAAATCACGCCACTGCACTCCAGCCTGGATGACACAGCAAGACTTGGCCTCAAAAAATAAATAAATAAATAAGAATAAAAATTAGAGGTAGAGGTGGGCATAGTGGCTCGTGCCTGTAATCCCAGCACTTTGGGAGACCAAGGCGGGCGGATCACGGGGTCAGGAGTCTCAAACTCCTGACCACCGATGTGGTGAAACTCCTTCTCTACTGAAAATACAAAAATTAGCTGGGCGTGTTGGCTCACACCTGTAATCCCAACTACTCAGAAGGCTGAGGCAGGAGAATCGCTTGAACCCGGGAGGCGGAGGTTGCTGGTGTGCCCAGATCTGCCATTGCACTCCAGCCTGGGTAACAAGAGTGAAACTCCGTCTTAAAAAAAAAAAAAAAAAAGCCGGAAGTGGTGGTGCACGCCTGTGGTCTCAGCTTCTTAGGAGACTGAGCCAGGAGAATTGTTTTTTCGTTTTTGTTTTTTTTTTTGGTGGGGGGAAGGGGACGGACTCTTGCTCACTGAAAGCTCCGCCTCCCGGGTTCACACCATTCTCCTGCCTCAGCCTCCTGAGTAGCTGGTACTGCACTCGCCTACCACCATGCCCAACTAATTTTTTTTTTTTTTTTGTATTTTTAGTAGAGATGGGGTTTCACTGTGTTAGCCAGGATAGTCTCGATCTTCTGACCTTGTGATCCACCCACTTCGGCCTCCGAAAGTGTTGGGATTACAGGTGTGAGCCACCGCACCCAGCCAGGAGAATTGTTTTAACCTGGGAGGTGGAGGTTGCAGTGAGCCAAGATGTCACCACGGCACCTCAGCCTGGGCAACAGAGTGAGACTCCATATCAAAAAAAACCCCAAAAAACAGTATATAGAATAATTACCCTATTATAGCATTTATTTCATGAGCATTGTTTTAAGTTTTAACTCCTTTGAGGCCTTACAATCCCAGAAGGTATGTACAATTGTTAGTCACCTTACAGATAAGGAAACTAGGTCTATGGACACAGGGCTTATCAGTGTGAAATCAGGCTGTGATAGCAATCATATAGGGTGGTTGCAGGAGATTAGAAAATTCCAGGCAGCAGTTTCACATGACCAGAATAGCAACAGGAAACTTGAAATAGCTACAGTAACTATGGGTTGATAAGATTCCAAAAAACCAGGCTGTAGGCCAAGTAGACTAAGACCAACTAGACCTAATATGGTGCTGGGTCTGACCTCGGTTTCCCGTAGGACCTCATTATATGTTCATTAACACAGTCACACACCCACCAACATCATGACAGTCCTAGGAACACTCATATTTGGTATAAAGATGGGTGGTACCTCAGTTCTAAGAAATCTCCATCTTTTTCCAGGAATGCTCATGAGTGTTTTACCCCTTGGTTAAAAAAATCCAAAAACGGCCAGCGTCATGGCTCATGCCTATAATCCCAGCACTTTGGGAGGCCAAGGTGGGTGGATCATGAGGTCAGGAGTTCGAGACCAGCCTGATCAACATAGTGAAACCCTGTCTCTACTAAAAATACAAAAATTAGCCAGGCGTGGTGGCATGTGCCTGTAATCCCAGCTACTCAGGAAACTAAGACAGGAGAATCGCTTGAACCCAGGAGGCAGAGATTGCAGTGAGCCAAGATCACACCACTGCACCCAGGGCTGGGCGACAGAGCAAGACTCCATCTCAAAAAAAAACAAGCCGGGCGCGGTGGCTCAAGCCTGTAATCCCAGCACTTTGGGAGGCCGAGACGGGCGGATCATAAGGTCAGGAGATCGAGACCATCCTGGCTAATACGGTGAAACCCCATCTCTACTAAAAAATACAAAAAAAAAAAAAACTAGCCGGGCGAGGTGGCGGGCGCCTGTAGTCCCAGCTACTCAGGAGGCTGAGGCAGGAGAATGGCGTAAACCCGGAAGGCGGAGCTTGCAGTGAGCTGAGATCCGGCCACTGCACTCCAGCCTGGGTGACAGAGAGACACTCCGTCTCAAAAAAAAAAAAAAAAACCAAACAAACAAAAAAAACACACAAAACAAAACTATAGGCTGGGCACGGTGGCTCATGCCTGTCATCTCAGCATTTTGGGAGGCCAAGGCAGGTGGATCACGAGGTCAGGAGTTTGAGACCAGCCTGGCCAACATAGTGAAACCATGTCTCTACTAAAAATACAAAAATTAGCCAGGCGTGGTGGCGCGCACCTGTAGTCCCAGCTACTCGGGAGGCTGTGGCAGGAGAATCACTGGAACCCGGGAGGAAGAGGTTGTGGTAAGCTGAGATCGCGCCATTGTACTTCAGCCTGGGCAACAGAGCGAGACTCAGTCTCAAAAAAAAAAAAAAAGAAAAAGAAAAAGAAAACTATAAAACCCACCAGCTGTTAGGTTCAAAAGCCTTGGGATGAGTGGAAGCAAATTTGAGGAAAAGCAGTTTATCCCCCAATGAAGTGCTTTATTTTATGCTATTCTCTTCCCAGCTACCTCGGGGACCTGTGAAAACAGAATGCTGTCCGTTTCTGACACACACACAGACCCTGCTTGCTACAAATCAAAAGGCTTTATTCCTTATACAAACCCACACTTAGAAAAAATAGTTAATAAATTATAGGCAAACCAGTTGGTCTTAGCCACGCCTCCCAAAGAGGTCCAGGGGAGCCGCTGCTGCACCAGGAGAGGAGGGGGAGGGTGTGGCAACAGCTTGGCTCAAGGGCGTGGCCTGGACTGGGGACAAAGGGACAGAGGAGGAAGGCAAGGTCTGGGTGAGGGCAGGGATGGGGGCTAAAGGTGGGTTCCTGAGGCGTGCCCAGGCTCTGGCCCGGGCAGCAGGGGTGAGGCAGGGGCTCAGCTCCTCCTGGGCCCGGGCGATACGGCGTGCGAAGCGGCTCCGATCCCGAGCAAGCTGCTCCCAGGGGCCCTGGCGGGCGGCCTGGGCCGGCCCTGCCCAGACAGCCAGAAAATGGACAGTGACCTTCTCGGAGAAGTGCACCTGGGGGCAGACACAGGGACACAGGCAGGGGAGGGACACAGCCACGGGAATCCGGATGGGGAAGAGAGAGAGAGAAGAAAACAAAAATTAGTTATTACACAAAAATGCTTTCTATCTGGCTAGTCACTTGCCTGTCACTGTCATGGGATTCTCCATCTGACTCACTGAAGGCAGAGATGGTTTCCTGGGGTTGCTGTGAGCCACAGCTGCTCCCTCCTCCCCCAGGGGCCTGGCCTCTTACAAGAGATTGCGTGACAGTGTACACAGCCCTCCCCATAGAAATGACACGCAATCCTCTGCAACATACAGGAACCCAGGAGTCTCAGCCTCCAGCCCCTTCCTCTCCAAGACTCAAGAATCTGGGCTCTCGGCCAGACATGGTAGGTAGCTCATGCCTGTAATCCCAGCACTTGGGGAGGCTGAGATGGACACATCACGTGAGGTCAGGAGTTCAAGACCAGCCTGGCCAACATGGTGAAACCCCCATCTCTACTAAAAATACAAAAAAATTAGCTGGGTGTGGTGTCGTGTGCCTATTATCCCAGATACTCCAGAGGCTGAGGCACGAGAATAGCTTGAATTCGGGCTGCAGAGGTTGGCAGTGAGCCAAGATCGCGCCACTGCACTCCAGCCTAGGTGACAGTGCAAGACTCAATTTAAAAAAAAAAAAAAAAAGGCCAGGCACGGCGGCTCACGCCTGTAATCCCAGCATTTTGGGAGGCCGAGGTGGGAGGATCATGAGGTCAGGAGATCGAGACCATCTTGGCTAACACGGTGAAACCCCTTCTCTACTAAAAATCCCCTTCTCTACTAAAAATACAAAAATTAGCCGGGCGTGGTGGCAGGTGCCTGTAGTCCCAGCTACTCGGGAGGCTGAAGCATGAGAATGGCGTAAACCCGGGAGGTGGAGCTTGCAGTGAGCCGTGATGGCGCCACTGCACTCCAGCCTGGGCGACACAGCGAGACTCTGTCTCAAAAAAAAAAGAATCTGGGCTCTCAGCACCCACCTTTCTGGCCTTTAGGGGAATCTCGGGGTCCAGATCACGGGTAGGGGTTTCTGGGCGCTTGAGCCGCCTCTGCAGTCGGAGGGGCAGTCTAGGAGGAGCCCAGGGAGGTGGTGGCTTCTTTCCAGGTACATAGATGGCCACTCGGAAGGGGCAGGGTTCAGCTTCTCCCCAGTCCTCAGCAGCTTCCTCTTCCTCTGTCTCCTTTCCAGGTCGGTATACCCAGCCCCTGAAGTGGGCACTCTGGGCCGGGGGGGAGGGATGTGGGTCTGACTCAGCTTCTCCCATGGCTGCTTCTGAATCATCTTCCTTACCCTCACTATCCGCATCCTCATCTTCCTCCTCCTCCGTGTCCTCTCCTGGCCGATACACCCAGGACTTCAAGAAAGCACTTGCAGGGGGTGTGGAAGTGGAAATTTCAGCTTCTCTTTCATCCTCAGCTGATCCTGTATCACTGTCCTCATCTTCCTCCTCCTCCGTGTCCTCTCCTGGCCGATACACCCAGACCTTCAAGAAAGCACTTGCAGGGGGTGTGGAAGTGGAAATCTCAGCTTCTCTTTCATCCTCAGCTGATCCTGTATCACTGTCCTCATCTTCCTCCTCCTCTGTGTCCTCTCCTGGTCGATACACCCAGGACTTCAAGAAGACACCTGTAGCAGGAGTGGAAGAGGAAGCCTCAGCTTCTCCCTCTTCCTCATCTGATCCAGAGTCACTGTCCTCATCTTCCTCTTCCTCCGTGTCCTCTCCAGGCCAATACACCCAGGCCTTCAGGAAGGCACTTGAGGGGGGGATGCAGGGAGGACACTCAGCTTCTCCATCCTTCTCAGCTGCCCCCAAAATCTTGACCTCACCCTCCTCTTCATCACTGAGTTGGCACCACCAGGACTTGAGCTGGGGCCTTTGGGCTGGGGCTGAGGAGTGTGGCCCTGGGGCAGCTTCTCCTTTCCCAGCTTCTTCGTGTGCCTTTTCTTCCTTCTCCTCGGACGCCTCTCCTGAACGATACTCCCAGGCCCTGGGGTTGGAGCCTGAAGATGGGGGGGACACGGAGGTCTTCCTGGCTCCTTTACTTTTTTCTATTCTTCTTTCGTCCTCCGTGGCTTGATTCTCTTCCTCTCCTGGGCAAGACACCCAAGTGCTGGGCTTGGATCCTGGAGACACGGCAGAAGTGGAGGTTCTGCAAGTTTCTTTCTTTACAGCTTCTTCATTGACCTCTCCCTCCACTGCTGGACAACACCCCCGGTGTGACACAGGATAAGAGAACTTGTTAACTCCCTCCTCTCCAGCACCTCCCTCTTCCTCAGCTTTCTCCTCCCCTGGGTTCTTATCAGAACCTTGCAGCGTCCTTATCAGAAGGCTGGGAGTCAGGGGAGCAGGCTGGCCATCTGCAAATTGACTTCCCTGCCCTCTAGGGATGCTGGTTGCTTCTTGCTCACTATATATGTCATCATAATCATCCAAAAGTCCCCAGGCTTCAGGAAGGGAACTGCTGGTTTTCAGGCCCAGTGTTTCTCTGTTCTCTCCAGGGCCTGCACGGTCTTCAGCCTCCTCATCAGGGTGTCTGCCCCAAGGGGTATGGGGGGTTGCCAGAGGAGTCCTGGCTTCTCCCTCCAGGCCAACTTCTACCAGAGCTACTCCTTTTACTGCCTCCACCAGCCAGGGCTCTGGAGGTCCCAGGCCCCTCAGGCGGCTCCAGGCCCGGCTGAGGAGGCCCATCACTGGGGACAGGAGGAAGAAAGGGTGGGCATCCCTCCATGGGGTAGCCTGATGGGGTGCTTGGCCTGGGGCCATGTGTCTGGGCTGGAAAAGGGGGAGGAAAAAAATAAAGTTTAGGGGCCATTTAGGGGATGGCATCCGGGCATGACTATGAGTCATAGCAACAGAAATAGTAACACAACTATTGTCAATAGCAACGCAAGAGTCCCAGACTCCTTTCTGATCTCAGCCACGCCCATCTCTGTCGCTTGGCTCTGTTCGCTCTCATCTCTCAATAGCCAGGAGTCTGAGCCCCTAGTTCTTCCTTAGATCCAAGGGTCCAAGCCCCCAGCCCCCTTTCTTCAGACGCAAAAGTCCCAGTCCCAAGAACCAAGAACAAAAGTCTTTTGCTTGCTTCCCTTGGCGACAAAGTCATAGTCCCTCCCTAGCTCTCTCATCCTGCTGAAGATCAAACCCTCACAGCCTCCTCCCTTGCAGACTCAAACATTCTGACCCGACCCCCCACTTGCTAGATGATTCCTTCACGGGGACCCAAGAATCTGGCTTCCAGATCCCTCCTCCCTCAGGCTCCGGACTCCAGGGTCCCAATCTCTTCTTCCTAAATCCAGGTCTCCAGCCCCGTGGGGACCCAGGCGTTCCGACCCCTTACTCACCGGTGGGGTGCTGCGCGTCACCCCGGGGGCAGGAGCGCCGGCTCGGTCTGCCAGAAGCGATCACAGGTCCTGACGATTAGGAAGGCCAGCGCGTTCATCTCACCCTCAGGCGTCGGGCTCCAGGGGACTCAGAGTATCTCCGGCTGCCTCAAGCGCAGTGGCGACAAGCGGGCGCGGGGTCCTGCGGCGTCTTGCATACGATCAACAACTTGGACAGGAACCAACACGATGAGCGCAAGCGTAGGCCACGACGCTTTTATATTCTACAGCGCCCGGCGTGCTGACGTCACGGGGAGAGGCGGGGTTTCGAGACCACAACCCGAAGGGTGGGAAGTGAAAGACCGGACTTCTCGCGGAGATTCCAGCCTTTGTAACGTCACGGCGGAGTTTCCGAGCGTGACCACGCCCCCGCAACCAGCGAACTGTCAATCAAATGCGTGGTCCTGCTTCAGCAGCGAGCCGGTTCTCTCTTAGCTGAGGGTCAATGCCTTCCCACCCAAATTTATTTATTTGTGTATTTATGTATTTATTTACTTATTTATTTATTTAAGTTCGTTAGTTATTTTGAGGCGAGTTTTGCTCTTGTTGCTCAGGCTGGAATGCAATGACGCTATCTCGGCTCACCGCAACCTCCGCCTCCGGGGTTCAATCTCCTGCCTCAGCATCCCGAGTTGCTGGGATTACAGGCAGGTGCCACCACGCACGGCTAATTTTGTATTTTTTGAGCAGAGACGTAGCTTCTCCATGTTGGTCAGGCTGGTCTGGAACTCCTGACCTCAGGGGATCTGCCCGCCTTGGCCTCCCAAAGTGCTGGGATTACAGGCGTGAGTCACCGCGTCCGGCCTATTTATTATTCATTTATGTATTTTTCTGAGACGGGATTTCACCATGTTTGCCAGGCTGGTCTCGAACTCCTTACCTCAGGTGTTCTGCCTGCCTCGGCCTCCCAAAGTGCTGGGATTACACGCGTGAGTTACCGCTCCAGGCCTATGTATTTATTTATTTTATTATTATTATTATTTTGAGACGGAGTCTCGCTCTGTCACTCAGGCTGGAGTGCAGTGGCCCGATCTTGGCTCACTACAAGCTCTGCCTCCCGGGTTCACGCCATTCTCCTGCCTCAGCCTCCCGAGTAGCTGGGACTACAGGCCCCTGCTACCATGCCTGGCTAACTTTTTGTATTTTTAGTAGAAGCAGGTTTTCACCGTGTTAGCCAGGATGGTCTCAATCTCCTGACCTTGTGATCCGCCCGCCTCGGCCTCCCAAAGTGCTGGGATTACAGGCGTGAGCCACCTCGCCCGGCCTGTTATTTATTTATTTTTTTGAGACAGAGTCTCGCTCTGTCACTGAGGCTGGAATGCAATGGTGCGATCGGCTCACTGCAGCCTCCATCTCCTGGGTTCAAGCAATTCTCCCGCCTCAGCCTCTGAGTAGCTGGGATTACAGGCATGCACTACCACACCTGGCTAATTTTTTGTATACAGACAGGGTTTCGCCATGTTGCCCAGGCTGGTCTTGAACTCCTGAGCTCAGGCAATCTGCCCACCTTGGCCTCCCAAAGTGTTAGGATTATAGGCGTGAGCCACCGCACCCGACCTATTTATTTATTTTTTGAGACAGAGTCTCACTTTGTTGCCCAGGCTGGAGTTCAGTGGCGCCATCTCGGCTCACTGCAGCCTCCACCTCCCGGGTTCCAGTGATTCTCCTGCCTCAGCCTCTGGAATAGCTGAGATTACAGGAGTGTGCCGCAATGCCCAGGTAATTTTTGTATTTTTAGTAGAGACAGTGTTTTGCCACGTTGACCAGGCTGGTCTTGAACTCCTGACCTCAGGTGATCTGCCCGCCTGGGCTTCCCAAAGTGCTGGAATTACAAGCATGATCCACTGTACCCGGTCTCCTACCCCTTTAGCCCAAAGGCCCAGCCTACAGCCCCCCATTTTCTTTCTTTCTTTCTTT